GATTTTTGTTGTTTTTGTAATTGATATGGTCAGTTATGCTGATAGTTTCCCTAATATTGAACCTGCCTTGCATTCCTGGTATAAATCCCCCTTAGTCATAATGTGTCATCTTTGTGACATAGTGTTGTAATCTTGCTAGTATTTTATTTAAACTTTTTGCATAAATATTCATTAAGGAAATTAGCCTATAGTTTTCTTTCTCTGTTTTTGTTCTCTCTGGTTTAGGGATAAAAGTCATTATTTGCGTCATAAAGGAAATTTGGTAGGACCCTTTTACATATTTTTTCAATAGTTTATATACTGTTGGGATTAATTGTTCCTTAAATGTTTGGCAGAATTCACTTGTCAATCCATCCAGTCTTGGTGATTTTTTGTTAGGGAGGTCATTGATGGCTTGTCCAATATTTTTTTCCTAAAGTAGGGTTATTTAAGCATTCCATTTCCTCTTTTGTTAATCCAGGCAATTATATTTTGTAAATATTCATCCATTTCATTAGATTGTCTGTTTTTTTGGCAAGTAAATGGGCAAAATTAACTCCTAATAATTGCTCAAATTTTATCTTCATTGATGGTGCATTAACCCTTTTCACTTTTGATACTGGTAGTTTGGTTTTCTTCTTTTTTTTTTTTTAAATCAGATTAACCAGTGCTTTATCTATTTCATTGTTTTTTTTTTTCCATAAAAAAGCTTCTAGTTTTATTTATTATATCAATGATTTTTACTTTCAATTTTGTTAATCTCTCCTTTGATTTCCAGGATTTCCATTTTAATGTTTAATTGGGGGTTTTTAATTTGTTGTTTTTCTTCTTCTTTTTTAGTTGCATGCGCAGTTCTTGATCTGCTCTTTCTCTCTTTTATTGATGTGAGCATTTAGAGATATAAAATTTTCCTAAGTATTGCTTTGGCTGCATCCCACAAATTTTGGAATGTTGTTTCATTGTTCTCATTCTCTTTAATGAAATTATCAATTGTTTCTATGATTTATTCTTTGACCCACTCATTTTTTAAGGATTGGAGTATTTAATTTCCAATTAATTTTTAATCTATTCTTCTATAGCCCTTTATTGAACGTAATTTTTATTGTATTATGGTCTGAAGGGGGTACATTGAATATTTCTATTCTTCTACATTTGGTTGTGAGGTTTTTATGCCCTAATACATGGTCAATTTTTGTGAAGGTGCCATGTACAGCTGAGAAAAAGATGTACTCTTTTTAAAAATTTCCATTTAATTTTCTCTAGAGGTCTATCATATCTAACTTTTCTAAGATTCTAGTCATCTCCTTAACTTCTTTCTTATTTATTTTCTGGTTACATTTACTAGTACCGAGAAGGAAAAGTTGAGATCCCCCACTAGTATAGTTTTATCGTCTATTTCCTTCTGTAATTTATTTAACTATTCCTTTAAGAATTTGGATACTATTCCATTTAGTGCATATATGTTTAGGATTGATATTACTTCATTGATATTACTTTGCCTTTTAGCAAGATGCAGTTTCTCTGCTTATCTCTTTTAATTAGGTCTATTTTTAATTTTACTTTTTCTGAGATCATGATTGCTACCCCTGCCTTTTTTATATCACTCAAGCAGAATAGATTTTCTTTGGCCTCTTATTTTAACTTTGTGTTATGTCTCTTAGTTTCAGGTGTACTTCTTGTAAACAACATATTGTTGGATTCCGGTTTCTAATCCATTGTGCCACTTGTTTCTGTTTTATGGGTAAATTCATCCCATTCACATTCACAGTTAGAACTGTACATTTCCCTCTATCCTATTTTTTCCTGTTTACCTGTCTCTCCTTTTATTCTGACCCACCTCTAAAGTCTGTTTTGCTTCTGACTACCGATTCTTTTTATCCACTCTCACTTTTATCACCCACGCCCTTTTTCTAAATCTCTTCTCCAACTGCTTTCCTATTAAGTAAGATAGATTTCTATTACCAATTGAGTATGTACATATGTTTTTCCGTCTTTGAACTAATATAGATGTGAGTGATATTGAAGCATTGTCTGATCCTCACACTATTTTCCCCTCCACTGTAAAAGCCCTTCCTTCTGTGCCTCTTTTATGTGAGATAATTTCCCCCATTCTCCTTCCCCCTTCCCCCTTCTCCTAGAGTATGCATCTTTCTTATCTATCCATTTCATTTACATTATCCCAACATTGTCAACTCACTCCTATATCTTTTTATGTGGAATCCCTTTAACTACCCTAATAATGATAAAGTTCTTAGAAGTTACATGTATTATCTTCCCATATAGAAAGGGAAACAATTTAATCTTATTGAGTCCCTTATGATCTCACTTTCACGTTTACCTTTTTATGCTTCTCTTGAATCTTGTATTTGAAAGTCAAAATTTCTATTCAGCTCTGGCCTTCATCAGAAATGCTTGAAAGTGCTCTGTTTCATCAAATATCCATTGTTTTCCTTTGAAGTATTGTACTCAGTTTTGCTGGCTAGGTTATTCTTCATTGCAATATCAATCCTAAGCAAAGTCAGTCATTGTACAATGTGGCTGTTACTGTGTATAGTGTTCTGGTTCTGCTCACTTCACTCAGTGTCAGTTCATATAAGTCTTTCCAGGTTTTTCTGAAGTCTGCCTGCTCATCATTTCTTTTTTTTTTTTTTATAAATATATATTCCTATTAAACATATTTTCACATTAGTGATGTAGTAGGTAAGAATTAGAACCAATAGGAGGAACCACCAGAAAGAGGAAACAAAACACAACAGAAGAAAACAAAATAGCAAATAGTATGCTTTGATCTGCATTCAAACTCCATAGTTCTTTCTTTGGATGTGGATAGCATTTTCCATCATGAGGCCTTTGGAGATGTCTTAGATCCTTGTATTGCTGAGAAGGGTTAAGTCTATCAATATTAGTCATAGCACAACGTGGCTGTTACTGTGTACGACGTTGTCCTGGTTCTGCTCATTTCACTTAGCATTAGACCATACAAGTCTTTCCAGGTTTTTCTGAAGTCTGCCTGTTCATCATTTCTTATAGAACAATAGTATTCCATTATATTCATATACCACAACTTGTTCAGTCATTCCCCAATTGATAGGCATCCTCTCAATTTCCAATTCTTTGCCACCACACAAAGAGCTGCTATAAATATTTTTGTACATGTAGGTCCATTTCCCATTTGTATGATCTGTCTGGAATATAGCCCTAGAAGTGTTATGCTGGGTCAAAGGGTATGAACATTTTTATATCCCTTTGCGCATAGTTCCAAATTGCTCTCCAAAATGGTTGGATCATATCACAACTCCACCAACTATGCATGAGTGTTCCAATTTTCCCACACCTTCTCCAACATTTATCATTGTCTTGTTCTGTCATGTTGGCCAATATGATAGGTGTGATGTGGTATCCCAGAGTCATTCTGATTTGCATTTCTTTTATCAATAGTGATTTAGAGCATTTTTTCACATGACTATAAATAGCTTTAAATTTTTTCCTCTGCAAACTGTCTGTTCATACAGGAGAGAATTTTTAAAAGGATCAATAGTTTAACAAAACTTACCCTACTTACAAATTTCCCTAAAAGTCAAGATTGACCAAATAGAAATTGATAACTTCAGAAGACAACAAGAATTTTTAAAAGAAAATCAAAATCATATCTGCTAATTTGCAGGGTGTGAGGTGAAACCTCAGGGTTGTTTTGTTGTGCATTTCACCTATTTTTTTATTTAGAATATTCTTTCACGTGATTGTGGATTCTTTACCATTCTTCTTTTTACTCTGATTAACCATTAAAGGTGAAGACTTGAGATGGATGGGGCTCATGAACTAAAATTTTAAATGGAGGTGGTCCAGAGTCCTTTGAACCTGGGTTAGTCTTACCTGGGAGATCAATTCAGTGAATTGGAAAGTGTTTCCAGGTATTACATTATTACAATTATGATAACATGACATTTGAATGACATACTTTTCAAAGTGCTTTTCACAATTTGACACCCTTTATTTCATTTATTCTGCCTAATTGTTAGTGATCCTTCCTCAAATGTTTTAATATTTATCTGTTTATACATACTATCCCTCAGTAAGATGTAATCTCTTTGAAGGCAGAGACCATTTATAATTTTCATCTTTGTAGCCCCAGCTTCTAGCATATGCCTTGTATATAAACAGGTGCATAATAAATGTTTATTTATTAATTGATTGATTAGTGTTGGTTGTGGGGAAAAAATGTATCTATTGTTCCCTGGTGTGATTGGTTTAGGGTGTAGGTTTGCCAGTGAGGTCTGAGGGGGTGGGCAGGAAGTGACAATTCTGATATTAGAATAAATTATTGCGAAGTAATGAGAAGTTCCCACTTGAAATCTAGGATTTCCCGCCCTCATCATCCCAGTCCTGCCAGTGACGTTGGTTGTTGGGGTGTGGAGGAATGAGCGACCTGACTTTACAACCCTCCTCACTTGCTCCTCTGGCCCCAGGTTTCAGCAGAGAATTTCACTTTGAGATAAACAATTCCCAAAGGGTAGACATAACTTTTCCTCTTTAGCTGTGTTGCCTGAAGTTTTGTTTTTTTCATTTTTTTTGGACTGAGGGAGAAAAGGAAGCTTGGGGAATGAGTAGGGTAGGGTTAGGCAACAGGTTTTTTCCCAAACACCTGAGCTTATTCACTGGGTGTGTCTGGCCGTTTATGCAGGTTCTTTCTGAATTGTGTCAGGTTTCATAATCAGCTCACTGCTTCAAAAGAAGCAGTCTTGAAATATACAGAACTCTGTTCTCTTTCCCTTTCTTCTTTATTAAGATCCACTCTTTCTCTTTGTGATTACAAAGGATTCAAAAGAGAGAGGAAGGTAAGAGCCCCCAAAAGGGAGAGAGAAAGTGGAGAAAGAGGGAAAAGGCAGAGGCAGAGAGAGAGAGAGAAAGAGAGAGAGAGAGAGAGAGACATGTCTGTCAGGAGGAAAACTTTGATCTAACAAATGGCCACCTCATTCAGACCTGCTCTGTAGGAGAACTCTGCCAGACAGAACACTGTCCATCTATTCTGGGAGCCTCAGGAAAGAGAATCTTCTTGGATGAAACCAGAATAACCTCTTTTTTTGGACTTCGTCGACTACCATCAGCAACACTCAGGTATTGTGATGTTTGAATGTGTTCTATTTCAGTGAGCCTCATCCTATCTCTGGAGCTGAAATCTAACATTCAGCAAAATAGCATAACATTCACTTCTATGAAATGCTTCTCTCTGCTTTTGAATAAGTCCGAGATAATTTGTCTTCATTTCTTCCATTTGCTGGTCATTTCCTGGCAGGCCTGGAAGAATTGGAGGATACAAGTGTCCATTCTGCCTCTTTTTTCCTATCCCCAAGGTACATTCTTTGCTTTCCTTTTTCACTTACTGCTTCTTTCCTTTCTGTTCTTTCTTAACTGTGCCAAGTAAATGAATCCCCAGAGATTCCTTTCCAAAGCAGAGATGCTTATCATAAACCACAAAGCTCCTATGGTATTCCTTCCTTAAATTGGTGGATCTTGCATTTTTTTTTTTAGGTCATGGATTCTGGATCTTCTTCCCCCTTTTTTCTAAAGATGGTCTCAAAATATGCTTGCTTAAGTGATTGAGCTAAATCCATGGGTTAGGGATCGATGAGATGGTATATTTATTTAAAAAGAGATAAAAAATAAATTGTAAATTCATTTCAGAAACCAAATAGAATCTAAAATCTCAAGGGACCTGAGGACATATCTAGTCTAACTTCCTTCCTACCTGTGGATAGCATTTTTCATCAGGAGGCCTTGGGAGATGTCTTAGATCCTTGTATTGCTGAGAAGGGTTAAGACTATCAGTATTAGTCATTGCACAATGTGGCTGTTACTGTGTACAACGTTCTCCTGGTTCTGCTCATTTCACTCAGCATTGATCACACAAGTCTTTCCAGGTTTGCTACAATGGCTTATAAGTGGTCATTGAGCTTTTGTTTGAACAGATGGCACAGAATGTTAGACAGCCTAATGTAGTGTGTCCAGATGAAGGAAAGTGAGAGTTCTGCCCTATTGACACCACATCTAGAATATTGTCTTCAGGGAAGTCCAGGTTCTAGTCCTGGCTCTGCAACCAATTGTCTGAATGACCTTGGAAAAGTAATTTAGCTTCTATGGGCTTGAGTTTCCTAATTAGTAAAATGAGGGGGTTTAGATTAGTTCTCTGCAATCCCTTTTAGCTCTACTATTCTGTGACTTCTAGCGATGGAGAACTCACTACTTCACAAAGTATCCCATTCTATTTCGGACAGCTCTAATTTATAGAAAACTCTTTATTTTGCTGGGTGAAATACATTTTGCTACAACTTATTAATTCCTCAGCTTTTCCTTTGAGAATTACAAAAAAAAATAAGTTTGAACCCTATTCCATAGACTAGCTCTTCAAGTATTTGGAGACAACTACTGTGCTCCACTAAGTGTTGCCCACTAAACTGGAAGGGAGAAGGGAATAATCGTTTGTATAGTGCCTTTGTGCTAAGTGATTTTTAAAAATACATTTTTTTTACATTAAAAAAACCCAAACATTACTCATTTCATCCTTACAATAACTCTGGGAGGTAGATGCAATAACTCCATTTTATAGTTGATGAAACTGAGACAAATGGTAGTTAAGTAACTTGTCCAAAGTCGCACAGCTAGTAAATGTCTGGAGCTGGATTTGAATGTAGGTCTTTTCAACTAGGGGCAGCTAGGTGACTTAGTGGGTAGAATGCTATGCCTGGAGTCAGGAAGACTCATATTCATACCAACTGTGTGACCCTGGACCAGTTATTTAACCCTGTTTGCCTCAGTTTCCTCATCTGTAAAATGAACTGGAGAAGGAAATGGCAAACCACTTTAATGTCTTTGCCAAGAAAACCCCAAATGGTGTCACGAAGAGTCAGACATGACTGAAAAAGACTGAACCGCAAAGAACTACAGCTTCCTAAGTCTAGGATTACAGCTCTATCCACTGGGTTACCAGCTGCCTCTAACTTGGTTGGTTCTTATGTCAATACTTCAAGGATCTGAATAATGCAGCCTCTTTATCTGTGCGTCTGTCCCTAAATAGCTTAGTCAGAAGTTTTCCAGAGTTATTGTGTCCAAAAAAAGTCATCATCCTAAAAGTCACATCTGCCTCTGTATAATTAAGCTAGGATGCACTTAAAATCTTTCTAGCTTGGTAGGACTTTCCAGAGTTTGAGCTTTACTGTAACTGTCTTTGAGAATCTAGGGTCACGTTTATGTCACCTAGTCAGATAGGAGGCACAGTGGGTAAGAGTACTGGACCTGGAGAAGACTTTAGTTCAAATCCAGCCCCAGACATTTACTGTGTAACCCTGGGCAAGTCATTTCATGTCTGTCTGTCTTAGTTTCCCCACCAGTAAATGGAGACAGTAATAACACTTTCCTCCCAGGGTTGTTATAGAGATAAAAGGAGATACTTGTAAAACACTTCGTAAACCTTAAATAGATGTGTAAATTCTAGCTCTTATAATTATCATTATCATCAGTTGGATTTGGGAGAAGTAGGAGCCACTGCAGTAGATTGAGCAGTAATCCTTCAATAGTGTTCTCCAAGGTTAATGACCACTTCTTGGGAGTGTTGTAGAAGAGACTCTTGATCAGGCGTGGATTGGATTAATGTTTTCCAGTGCTGAGATTCTGTGATTCTGCGGCAAGCAAACAGAAACCACAGAGGCAGATTTCAGCTCAGTGTATGGAAGAACTTCTAATGATATGGTCTTGTTTCGCAGTTATTTCAGTCGTATTTGACCCCTGGTGACCTCATTTGGGATTTTCTTGGCAAAGATACTAGAGTGGTTTGCCATTTCCTTCTCCAGCTCATTTTACAGATGAAGAAACTGAGGTAAACAGGGTTAAGTGACTTGTCCAGGGTCACACAGCTAGTGAGCATCTGAGGCTAGATTTGAATTCATGAAGATGAGTCTTCCTTGACTTTAGGCCTGGCACTCTATCCGGTGTACCACCTAACTGCCCAACAATACGGTTTATTTAACACTTGACTGGACTGCCTTGTGAGGTGGTGAACTCTCTAGCAATAGAGTGTTTGAGTAGAGGTCTCATGATCACTGTAGTAGCATAGTGCCAAAAGTAAGAAGCAAGACAGAAAAAAGGACAGAAAGGATGGAAATGGGGGGGGAGAGAGAAAAGAAGAGAGAGAGAGAGAGAGAGAGAGAGAGAGAGAGAGAGAGAGAGAGAGAGAGAGAGAGAGAGAGAGAGAGAGAGGAAGAGAGAGAAGAAAGACAGAGAAAGAAAAGAGAGAGAAGAGAGGGAGAGAAAGAAAGAGAGAAAGAGAGAAAAGAGAGGGGGAGATAGAGAGAGAGAAGCCCACTGGGCACAGTGGTACACACCTGTAATCCCTGCTACTTGGGTGCTGAAGCTGGCAGATCACTTGAACTCAGTTCTGAGGTAGAGGCAACTTAGTCAATCAAGTGTCTGCACCGTATGACACCAATATGGTGAGACTATGATGGGGGGGGGCCCTAGGATGCCTAAGGAGTGCTGAACCAGGAAGACCCATCTGACATAAAATGGAGAGAAAAGCAAAGAAAAGAAGCATAATAGCATCTTGTACAAGAAAGTCCTCGCTAGCTGCTTGTTGAATTCAACTTTATGGCGTAGAAGGGATTCCCAGATTGGGTGGGAAGTTGAACCAAATGCCATCTGAAGCATGCCCAGTGCCAGTGCCCAGGATGGTAAAGGGTCTATAGACATCTCAATATCCCTCTCAACTTTAAGACTCTATTACTGGGAAGCTTCCAGGGTTCAATTCAATTCAACTGAACAAGCACTGATTAAATACCTACTCTTTGCCAAGCACTGTGCTCCACGTTAGGTTGGAGATGTGTCTCCTCCCCTCAGAATGGAAATTTTCTGAAGCCCCTCAAGGATGCTTGGCCACATGAGGTGGATCCATGCCTTAATGCTGAATGTCTTACATCTCTCCCAGGGCAGCTGTCTGTGGTCTGTCTCCTTAGGGCCCTTCCTGGGTTCCTTGAAGATGTTTGTGTGGTTTCTTTTTTTCTCCATTCTGGGCCTTGGACACTGTGGTGAGTTTTCTCCTCCTTGGATTATAATGGCTTTGAGTAAACAGGTGGGCAATAGATCTATGCATGCTGACAAAGGCAGGCCAGGCATGGAGAGTGAATCCTCCCTGTCAGCCTTGAACCACCATCCCTATAAGTTCCAACCAGTCAGTCTTTCCTACTATTTGTACCCTATTCCTTTGGCTCTATTTAGCCTTATTGCTGGAGCCAACATGAAACACAGGGTCAACATGGTGAAGACAAAGGGCATAGATATAACTTATAACTCTATTGTATCCGTACCACACAATTTAAACCTTATACATATTATAGTCTTAATTGTTTCATTCGGGTTAACATTTTTCCCCAGGCTAAAAGATAAGCTCTTTGAGGACAGGGTGTTTGTCTTATATTTCTCTTATTTCCCAAGCAGTTTTTAGTGTAAGCATGTCAATAGATGTTATTAGTATTAATTATCATTTATGGAGCTTTAAGGTTTGCAAAATGCTTATCTAAAGCAATGGGTGGAAGTTATAGAGTGGCAAATTTCAGCTCAATGTAAGGAATCACTTCCTAACAATTAGAACCATTCAAAAGTAGAATGCGCTTCCTTGAGAAGTGGGGGGGGGAGGTTCACCCTTCAAGCAGAGCTTGATCGCTTCCTGCTGGGCATGTTGGAGAAGAAGATTCTTGTTCATGATCGCTAACATTTATGTAGAAACCACTATTTGCTGGCTGCTGTGCTAAGTATGATCTCCTTTGATCCTTGCAACCCTGAGATAGGAGTGCTATATTATCCCCATTTTATTGTTAAGGAAACCAAGGTTAACTGAAGTGAAGTGACTTGCCTAGGGTCACACAGCTAGGAAGTGTCTGAGGCCTTATTTGAGCTCAGGTCTTGCTGCCTCCAGGCCCAGAACTCTACCCACTGTGCCACCTAGTTACCTATTGTTATTGTTCAGGTATGAGCTGGACTAGCCAATCATTGATCCATTCCAGCTCTGTGATTCTCCTGTGTGAAAGAGGTGGTTTGTTGCTACCTCCTACTGATATGAGAAGTGATGATATCAAAATGCAAATTAAGATTTTTTTTTTGGGCATGGCCGACAAGAGAATTTATTTTGCTTGACTACACACATTTAATTCATCTGGAAGAATAAAAGGTCAAGAATAACAAGGGAATTAATGAAAAAAATATAAAGAAAGGTAAATTAGCAATACCAAATCTCAAACTATATTATAAAGCAGGAATCATCAAAGCTATCTGGCTAAGAAATAGAGTGATGGATCAGTGGAATAGGTTAGGTACACAAGACGCAGTAGTCAAAGATCATAGTAACCTGGTATTTGACAAACTCAAAAACCCCAGCTTTTGGGATAAGAACTCACTATTTGACAAAAACTGCTGAGAAAACTGGAAAAGAGTATGGCAGAAACTAGGTATAGACCAAAATCTTACATCACACACCAAAATAAAGTCAAAATGGGTTCACGATTTAGATATCAAAGCTGATACTACAAGCAAACTGGGAGAACAAGGAATAATTTACCTGTCAGATTTATGGGGAGGGGAAGAATTCATGACCAAACAAGAGACAGAAGATGTGCCTGGCCTCATGCTAAGAATTGGGAATACAAAAGGGGCAAAAGATAGCCCCTGCCCTCAAGAAGCTCACAATCTAATGGGGGAGACAGTAAGCAAACTAACATGTACAAACAAGCTATATATAGGATAAATAGGGAGTTTATAAGAGAGGAAAGGCCCTAGAATTGAGAGGGGTTAGATAAAGACTTGTAGAAAGTGGGCTTTTAGCTGGGACTTAGAGGAAGTGAGGGAGGAGGAGGAGGGAGAGCAGTTTGAAAGATGGGGGAAGAGATTGGGTGGTGGCCAATGCCTGAGGCATTAACCAGCTGGAGGAGGTATGTGCCTTTAAGAACTTCCTCTTGAGGTTCAAAAGGGGCCATAGACAGCAGATCAGTGTTAGAATTACCAAATGAAATTTGAATTAAAATTGAATTTCCTTAAAATGGAATACTTTAAAAAAAAAACCCAAACAAATCATGCATGAAGGAGATTCACTCTGTCATAAGCAGTCTTCTTTTTCTCTTCTTGTGTGGGAAAACACTCATATTTGTCATTGTTTTTCAAGTTCGTAATAAGAAGAGGGAAAATTAAAATAAATGAACTAGAGCTCTGCTTAAGAAACACTTAGGGCCCAATGATATGAGAAGGCATATTCTCTTGCAGATGTCGTTCCCAACCTCCTTACTTCAAATGAAAGCAAGACAGACTCCATAGCAAACGATTTCCAAAACTTGATCAACAATATCACTTTGCTCATTAGAAAGGCCAAGATACCTTACGGAGGTGAGTGACCTTCTAGGCTGGTTGGGTCGATTCAGTGGGTCTTGAATGTTTCTGCTGGTTTAGGAAGGGGTGAGGTGGAGAGGCACCAGTCAACAGCATGGATCTGGGAGAGGTTGGGAGAGGTCGAAGCCTCTACTAGCTGTGTTGGAGGTTGGGGATGGGGAAGTGGGGGAAGAGCCCTAAAGAGGCATTAGTCTGCCAATGGCCTTGATGGTGTTGGGCACTGGTACAGGTGATGGGAAGAGGAGAAGGTCTAGAGAAAGCAGATTGGGCTTAGAGTCTTAGGGAGCCTTCAGTCTGATGAGGGGTGGGGAGACACAACTTCTACCCTCACGGAGTCTTGAGTTAGATGGGGTGAGACGCAGCCACCGCCCTGAAGCTACCAGGCTGACAAAGGACGTTTGAAGCCCTTGCCCTCACGTTGCTCCTGGGTTGATAAGAGAGACATAAACATAATCCTCAGAGAGCTGCTGGTTGATGGAAAATTAGAGTACACATCTGGGATGCAGAGAGACAGAAAAACAAGCACAAAATTAGTGCACAAGAAGGAGAAGATGAATACAAGTGTGACTTGGGGGTGACACGTGGGCTTTGATGTACCAAAACACCACAGACAGTACAAAGAGCTCTGGCCATGGAATGAGAGGACCTGGATTTGAATCCTGCCTCACACTTACTACATGTGTTACTACTATGTATGTTATCTTGGGTGAATGATTTCTCTTCTTAAGACCTCAGTTTCTTTATCTGTAAAATGAGAGAGTTGGATGAATTGAACTCTAAGGTCTCTTCCTGCTTTAAAACACAATGCTCATGCTATTGTGAAGGAGAAGAATCTGGACAGGTGACAGGGCTGGGGTTTGGCTGGGGAGGCCAACTCATTAGAGAAGGTTAAATGGAGGAGGAGGATATGAGGCAGATCTGTGAAGAAGAGGGGGGAGACAGGTCTCAGGGGCACAGGAAGAGGCCTATCCAGACCAGGAACACCCACAGGCAGCAGAGGGTGATTCCAGCTCATGGGTTTTGCTGCTGGAGGTAGAAAGTCTATACTGGGATGGGGGTGAAGGGGGCATTCATGAGAAAGAAAGACAAGATAATGAAGAGGGAAGGAGAAGATGTTATGGGAGAGGGCCTTATTTCTATGCCTCTATTAAACATTAGGGGTGGAGAGGAACCCCTGATTTCTTTTTTTTGGAGGCAATCAGGGTTAAGTGACTTGCCCAGGGTCACACAGATAGTAAATATCTAAGGCTGGATTTGAACTCAAGTTCTCCTGACTCCAGGGCACTGTGCCACCTGGCTTCCCCAGAAACCCCTGATTTCAAAGCACCAGCCCAGACAGGATGCCCAGGAGAGGAGGGTCTATTGAGAAACGCTGAGGAGAAAACATCAAGTGAAGTCTCTGTGGGTTTTCCCCTTCAGGCTCCTTCAGGATGATCCCTCGACCAGAATGGGGAGCAGGGCCTTCTGGCTGCAGCATCCAGCTGAGGACTCCCACCCCATACCTCATCATCCACCATATTGCTGGGCAGGAGTGCCATGAGAAGAGCACCTGCCAGCAGAAGGTGAAGGGCCTGCACGAGCTCCATGTCAAAATGAACGGCTGGTGTGATGTGGCTTACAAGTAAGACACGGAGGCAGGGGCCTCCAGGCCGGCCAATGAGGCCCACCCGTTGTTGTTGTTGTTGAGTCGTGCCTGACTCTTTGTGATCCCATTTAAGATTTGCTTGGCAGAGATATTGGAGTGGTTTGCTACTTCCTTCTCCAGCTCATTTTACAGATAAGGAAACTAAGGCAAACAGGGTGAAGTGACTTGCCCACGATCACACAGTTAGTGAGTTTCTGAGGCCAGATTTGAACTCACGAAGGTGAAGTTTTCCTGACTTCTGGCTCAACTCTCTGTGCACTATGGCACCACCTAGCTGTCCTTCTTCATTCCATGGTTATCCTTATTTAGTCAGCTAGGTAGCTCAGTGAATAATAGTGTGCTGCTTGTGTGCCAGTCAGGATTGAACCCAGGTCTCCCTGAGTAACTTAGTCATTCAACCTCAGTTTAGTCATCTATAAAATGGGGATAATAACAACACCTATCTCCTATTGTTGAGAGAATCAAATGAGGTAATATGCAAATGTCACTTTATAAACCGAAAAGCATTATGCAAATGTTAGTTGTTATTTCTATCATCACTGTCATCATCATCATCATCATCATCATCATTATTTTCAGGGTTCTTTTTTGGAAGGCCTGTTTATTCATAGCACTAGGTTGGGTTGGACCACTTACAAAACAGCACCTGTTTTCACTGGTGTGGACAAGCTATTTATTAGACAGTGGAAATTTAGTCCACTGAATAATAATAATATTGTGCATATACATGTGAAAGTCAGTGTGGTAATAATGGATAGAGAGCTGCCTCTCAGTCAGGAAAACCTGGGTTCTAATTATGCCACACACTGTCAGTGTGATCCCATGCAAATCACTTAACTTCTCAGGGTCCCAGGTAACTTGCTAGGACAATAAGTTGCAGAAAAGGAGAGGAAGTTCCCCTCTAAAATCATCCTACACCCATTTTACAGTTGAGGAAGCTGAGGCAGAACTTAAGTGACTTTCCAAGGATCATGCAGCTAGGAAGTATCTGAAGCTGGTTTTGAACACAGGACATCCTGACTCCTGGTTCAACGTTCTATTTATTGCTTTTTGACAAGCATGACCTGGCAAAGGAATTTAATAAGAAAAAATGGTGGTCTTACTCAAGGGCAGGCCCAGGTAGGCCACAAACATTTATTAAGCCCTACTATGTGCTAGGCACTGTGCCATGTGCTGGGGGATACAAATACAAGGAAAAAGAAAGATGGTCCCTGCCCTCAAGGAGATTACATTCTGACAAAGGAAGACAATACAAAAAAGGGAGCAGAAAAGGGATGAGGGGGAGAGGAGGGGACTGAGGGCTGGCTGGCCTCTCCAAAAGGGAGAGGCCAGAGAGAACTCCCAATAGAAGAAGAAGTCTGGAGGCAGGAAAAATGGGCCGGGATGAGAAGGTCGCAGGGTCCTACGGGTTCCCAAAATCAACTTCACAGGTGAAGGCTTTAATTAAATTAAACTGAACAAGCATTTATTAAACACTGTACCAGGCACTGTGCTAAATATGCATACACAGGAAAGAAATGAAATAATCCCCTCAAAGAGATTACTGGGTAGGAAAGCCATGACTAGATAGCTATTTGTCTGCAAAAGATATGAGCTTTTTAATAGACTACAGGGACCAGCTAGATAGCACAGTGGATAGAGCACCTGGCCTGGAGTCAATGGTAGATTTAAGCACAGGCCAGAAGGTGGCGCCATAGTGCACAGAACACCAGGCCTGGAGTCTGCCTGATTCATCTTCCTGGGTTTAAAATTGATCTCAGACACTCACTAGCTGTGTGACCCTGGGCAAATCACTTAACCCTGTTTGCCTTAGTTTCCTCCTCTGTGAAATGAGCTGGAGAAGGAAATGGTAAACCGATCCAGTATCATTGCCTAGAAAACCCCAAATGGGCTCCATGAAGAGTCAGACATATCTGAAATGACTGAACAACACAGGATCATGTGAGTCAGCGGTGTAGGAACGACCAAGAAAGGTACCTTACAGAATGTGGGATTTGAGCCGAGACTTAAAGGAATGCAAGGAAGCCAGGAGATGAGAAGCAAGAACGTTTTCTTCATTTTACAGATGAGGAAACTGAGGCCCACGGAAGAAGTTAAATTACTTGCTTGAGGTCACACAAATAGTGTGCATACCTTCTGACTTGATTTGAGCTCAGGTCCTCTTTCTCTAGATCCAATTCTCTTTCATTGTACTCTGCCACCTTTTTTGTTGTTATTTATTATTCTGTTAGCAAAGATGCTTAAATCTTTAGTTCAGTTGCATCTGACCCTTTGTGACCCCATTTTAGGTTTTCTTGGCAAAGATACTGGAGTGGTTTGCCATTTCCTTCTCTAGCTCACTTTACCGATGAGGAAACTGAGGCAAATAACTTGCCTAGGTTTACGCAGCTAGTAAGCATAGATGTGAACTCAGATAAGTCTTTCTGACTGGAGGCCAGGCACTCTGTGCACTATGGTGCCACCTAGTGGCCCATGCTTAAATCTACCACTATTGATTTTCTTTCAATTCCTTTTCTAAATTAGTTAACTCTTCCTTTATCCATTTAGCTGCACTGGTATTAGGTATGCAGCAAACCAATACTGGTACACTCTCATTACCAATAAGATACTTTTAAACAAGACAGAATTTTCTTGTTTATATCTTCACTGCTTTCTAAACTGAATTCAACTTGAAAGACATCCCTGCACCTAATTTTATTGAGCTAGCTATAGCATGGAGAATTTGGATCTACCCTATGACCTTAGATCCATGTACATCTTTGGCATTGTATCGTTTATCCTTCTGACTTCCTACTCCTAAGTCTATTCTTCGCCCTGACTGTGGCCTCCAGGCACTGCTATACCTCTCTTTCTTCTCACTGTGCAACATACTTGTGCTGGTCTCACTTTTTCTACGTTACCGTCTTGACCCTATTATTCCTTTGAATACTGTCCTCTACTCTTTTCTTACTGCCTTGTTCTACCAACGCTTATGTCTGCACACACTGAAACCTTCTGTTATCCATATTCCTTTCTCTGCTCATAATGACTTTTTGCAGAATGTTGCTAGAGGAAGTCACACTACTTCCCAGGTCCAGTGTAGATTCATGTAGAGGCAGTGAGATAGTTCAATAGATAAGAGTGCTAGACCTGGAGTCAGGAAGACCTGAGTTCAAATCCACCCTCAGACACATATTGGCTGCATGACAATTATTGGTCAAATCACTTAACTTTTCTGTACCTCACTTTCCCTCATCTATGAAATGAGAATGATAATAGCACTTGTCTCACAGTGTTATTGTGAGGGCAAAATAACATTATAAAGTGCTTTGCAAGCCTTAAATCGCTCTATAAATGCTAACTATCATCATCATTATTGTTAAGAATCAGAATAAGACTGTAATGGAGAAATTGACCATTGTACATTTCATAACACGGCATTTAGAAGGGAACACACTGGCCCTGAAGTCAGGAAGACCTGTGTTCAAATCTAGCTTCAGACCAAACACTTGACACTTACTAGCTATGTGACCTAGGCAAGTCACTTAACTCAATTGCCTTAAAAGAAAATTATTTAGAGGCAGTTGGGTGGCTCAGTGGATAGAGCACAGACCCTGAAGTCAAGAGGATGTAAGTTCAAATCTGGCCTCAGACCAAACACTTGACACTTACTAGCTGTGTGACCCTGGGCAAGTCCCTTAACCCCAATTGCCTTTAAGAAAAAAATAAAAAGAGAAGGAAACACAGTACTCCAGACATAGATGCTTCCTCCAGGACACTGCAAGAAAAAAATGAGTTTTGTGGGTTGGGGAGCTGGGGTCTGTCCCTATAGCTGGGTTGTACCATTGGCCTTTAAACACTGGATTTCCTTACATCCTGACAGTTTCCTGATTGGTGATGATGGCAACGTGTACGAAGGCGTGGGCTGGGCCATCCAAGGCACTCACACTGTCGGCTACAATGACAAGTCACTGGGGTTTGCTTTTGTGGGAAGTGCAGCAGGTAACGGCCAGCCCAGCCAGGTCCTAACTGAGCAACTTCTGAGCTCCTTCTGGGATCATTTACAAGGAAAGGGAACAGAGATATCCCAACATAGATCGGGAAATATGAACCCTACAACCTGATTAATTCAGGGTTTTTTTCTTTTTGGGGGAGGGTTCAGGTCAGAATTATGTAGCTAGTTTAGGCAGAGACAAGGTGGCCCATATATTTTATTCTATTTATTTCAGAAATATTAAAGCTTCAACAAATTCTCAGTGACCGTTTTTGTCACAGTAAGAATCTTCGTACTCCCCAAATGTTTTTCTTTTTTTTTTTCTTTCTGAAACAAATGGTTTGTTTTGAAAGTGTTACAAGCATCAGCTAGGAATCAAATCTCAATAGGTCTCTCTCTCTCTCTCTCTCTCTCTCTCTCTCTCTCTCTCTCTCTCTCTCTCTCTCTCTCTCTCTCTTTCTCTTTCTCTCTGTCCCTCTCTCTCTCTCCCCACCCTCCCCCTCTCTCATTTTATAGATAAAGAAGCCATTGCTCTGAGATGTGAAGTGACTTGTATAAGGTCACATAGCTAGTAAGTGGCAAGGCCACAATTTGAACCCAGGACTTTTGGTGCCCATTTCAAGCCCCCTGTTCTTTCTGCCATCTTTTTCTGTTATTCTCTACTCTCACTCTTTCAGACCTCCTCCGAGACTCCCCAGCTCTGGCTTTGAGCCTGCTCAGGTGACCTGCCGCCCATCCCGGCTCATGCCTTCCTCTTTCCTGCATCTGAACCTTCACACACATCAGTGGTGCTCTTCCCGCTTCCTCTCTGTCTAGCCTCTTCCCTCCCTTGCTTCACCTCTTCCTCTGCTATGGACCCTTTTGTAATGAATTCCTTCCATTTCTGCCCCCTCCAGGCTCTCCCTTTGTCCTCAGCACTGAGGGATGACAAGAACAGGGGATGCTGTAGCCCTTTGTAGAGGTTCCTAGATGGGGTTTTGGAAAGAAAGGCACAGAGAGCTCTGCCCAGGGTGGAGGTGGGCGTGGGGGGGGAGTTAAGCTAAGAAATGAATGTTCTGGCTTATGGTCTCTCGTCAGGAAGTTCTCCCAGTGCTGCTGCCTTGGCTGCGGCTGAGAATTTGATCTCCTTCGCTGTCTTCAGAGATTACCTCTCACCCAAGTACATCCAACCACTACTTGTTCAGAGTGAGTTCTGTCTGGCCTCCCAGAAGAACGAAGTGTCCAAAAAAGGTAAGCCCTTGACTTAGTTCATTCCATTTCTTTTTTGTAAAAAATTTAAAACAAAATTTTAATTGATAGCTGTTGGTTTTGCCTTGCATTTCCCAAAGCATATGTCCCCTCTCCATTCTCTTTCGATATAATAAATTTAATATAATTTCATTTTGTTTCATTTCATTTTAGTTCAATTCAATAGACATTAATTAAGTAATTGCATAATTAAAAGGCCATATGGCAGCTAGGTGGCTCAGTGGATAGAGTGCTGGGCCTGGAGTCAGGAAGACCTGAGGTCAAATCTGACCTCAGACATTTATTAGCTCTGTGACCCTGGGCAAGTCACTTAACCTCTGTTTGTCTTAATCCATTGGAAAAGGAAAGGGCAAACCACTTCAGGATCTTTGCCAAGAAAAACCCATAGATGGTATTGGTGTGCCATGGTCCACTGCGTCAGGAAGAATCCAACGTGACTGAACACCAACATGATATAGTGCAGTGGTGCCCAAAGTTTTTTGTTCTGCAAACCTTTTTTCAACAACAAAATATGTTGTGACCCTCCCAAGCTAATTTAATACACTATTGACAATATTCTTTTAGATCCATTAATTATTTAATATAACCACATGATGCTTCAAACATGCACATAAAAAAATAATAATGATAGTGCCTACCATGTATCAGGCACTGTGCTAAGCACTTTATAATTATGATCTCATTTGATTTTTACAACAAACCTGGGAGATAGGAGCTATTATCATCCCCATGTAACAGTTGAGGAAACTGAGGCAAACAAATTAAGTGACTGGCCTCCGATCACATAGCTAGTAAGTGTCTGAGCTAGTAAGTGCCTGAGGCTGAATTTGAACTCAGATCTCCTGAATTCCAGACCTGGTGCTCCAGTGTACCACCTCACTGTGAATAGGTTCTATTTGTAATGTAATCAGGCAATTATTTACTGCTCAAGGGCACCATCAAAGAACTTTTAGCTCAAACCCCTTGGACCATCAGGGTTCGAGAACCACTAAATGGGATCTTCTGTGAATTAGCCTTTAAATCAGGTATATCCAGGTTCAACCCTTGCCTTTGACACATACTAGCTTTGTGTTCTTGGACAAGTCATTAAGCCTCTAAAATGTCTAAATCAACAAATTGTAGAGAAAGGGCCAATCTGCATTAATAGAGGATTGCCTCATCCAGAGATTCCCACACAAGGAAAAAATCAAAAGCTCTTTCTTCTTCCCTTCTTTTTAATTAACAAGTGCCAGAACACTGTGCTAGCCACTGAGGGAAATACAGAATTTAGGTAACGCATTATCTAGTTCCCCTTGACAAGTCCTTCCCCCTTCAAAGACCCTCTGACTTATCCCTGCCTGGAGGGACCCTTCCTATGGTGTCCTGGCTGATTTCCTTTGGAAAGAGAGCCTGAATGGGGACTGTCAGGGTCCTGAGGATGGGTAAACCTTCAAAACTGACCCTCATCTAGTTCTGTCCCTTCCAGTCTCTCCTGATGAAAAATATGGATGTCTTTCAGGGTGGAGAATAATGATGATGATGATGAAGATGAATATTTCTATAGTCCTTTCTATGTGCCAGGAATTATATAAAATGCTTTAAAATTTTATTCACATTTGATCCTCACAAAAACCTGAGGAGGGAGGTGCCGTTATTATGGCATTTTAGAGATGAGGAAATTGAGGCAAACAGAGGTTAAATAATTTGCCTAGGGTCACATAGCTAGAAAGTGTCTGATGCTGGATTTGAACTCAGATCTTCCTGACTTCAGGCCTGCATGTGTATATATTATACACTCAACTATGTGTACTAAATAGCATTTTTAAAATAGAACTGTAATTTCACCTGGGAAGGGAACTCCCAATGTGCAAACAGGGGATAGAGAGTACTGGGTCCTAGCTGTGTGATCTTGGGCAAGTCACTTAACCTCTGTTTGCCTCAATATCCTTAACTTAGGTTTTCCTGATCCATTAATTTTCCAGCGTATTTAGCAAACATGATTTGCATTAAGTTCTTGATTTATCACAATTATTCTAATAGAAGAACATATCTCACTGTAAATAGATTTCCTAAATGGGGCCTGATAATAACAGCACCTACCTTGCAGGGTTGAGGCGAGGATCAAATGAGATATTTGTGAAGTGCTTAGCCCAGTGACTGGCCCAGAATAGGCACTTATTTATTGGCTACTGACTGCATGTTTCTTTCTTTCCTTCCTTCCTTTCTCCCACTGATAAAGATATATAGCTCATCTGCAATTCATACAATGGCTGGCTTAGGATCACACAGCTAGAATATGTCAGAGTCAGAGATTGAACCCAGGTCTTCCTGCTTTTCATACTAAAACATATATGTGTGTGTGTGTGTGTGTGTGTGCTTGTGCATGTCTTTTCTTAGCTTAGATTAGTTTTTAAACTCAAATGAAAGTTAATTTTTAAAATGAGCTACATTCATTTTTAAGCCCTTGATCAGGCATTTCTCTGCACTTGGACAGGTATATCCGTCCATTCACAGGTGGGCTGATTCTTATGAGAGCGCCACCTCTCACATACGTACATCTATTCATACATGCATGGTATACGTGACTACATACTCTCATGCATGTTATTCAGTGTAATGTGGGAGAAAGGGTTCTGGTCTTGGAGTCTGATGACTTAGTTTGATTCCAAGCTAACTTACACTAACTACTGTGTTGTTGTTCAGTTTCCCAGTTGTGTCTGAATCTATATGACGCCATAGATTTAGTCCATGGGGTTTTCTTGGCAAATACATTGGAGTGGTTTGCCACATCCTTCTCTAGTGTGTCCTCATTTTAGAGCTGAGGAACTGAGGCAAATAGGGGTTAAGTGACTTGTCCAGGGTCACACTGCTAGTAAGTATCTGAGGCCGAATTTGAACTCACATCTCCCTGACCCTGTACCACCTAGGTGCCCCTGAGCAAGTCACAATTTCTCTGAGTTTCTTCATACAGAAAATGGGGGTAAAGTGTTACATAAGTGTGAACTATAATTACTACAAATTATTATTTTTAGATGAAAATTTCATTTTGTGTTTATTTATATCAAATAATACATTTTTTAATGGCTAGGGTTGGTGTGTAGGCATGCTTTTCTCTGGTTCTCTTATCTTCCATGAATGACCCTTGGCTCTATGTAACCTTTTTTTTATTTCGTATTTTTTCCCAGTTACATGTAAAAACAATTTTTAACATTCATTTTTAAAACTTTGAGTTCCAAATTCTTTTCCTTCTTCCCTTTCCGTCCCCCACCCCCCCAACTCTTGAGAAGGCAAGCAATTTGAAATAGGTTATGCATGTGTGGCTGTGCAAAACATATCCATAACAGTCATATTGCGAAAGAAAACATAGACAAAAGAACTCAAGAAAAACAAAGAAAGTAAGAAAAAAAAAGCATGCTTCAATCTACATTCAGACACCATCGGTTCTTTCTCTGGAAATGGATAGCATTTTTCACTGTAAGTCCTTCAGAGTTGTCGTGGATCGTTGTATTACTGAGAATAGCTAAGTCATCCAAAGCTGATCATCGTGCAATATTGCTGTTACTTTGTATGCAGTACATTTCACTTTGCATCAGCCCACAAATCATTTTTAAAGGGCTTGCTGACCTGTAGGCAGTCATCTTTTTCCTATTCCTTGCCTACGTAGACTGGTGTGTCATCTTCTTTGGGTAGACTCTGTCTGTTTCTCTGCCTGTTGGCCTCAGCATCTGTCCCAGGGCTTTTGCTCTGAGATAACTCTGCACCTTATCTGTGCCTCACTGCTTGTGGCAGCTCTGTCAGCACTAAGGCATCCCCAGGATTACCCGATTACCCAGATGGGACTTCTCCACGGGACAATGGGACATGTGCTGAGAAATAATTTTTTGCCCTTACCTTGGAGCTGGGCTGGTGGAGGATCCCTGAAATACTCTGATTAGTGGCCTGGCATTCGAGGGCTATACCCATCTTGCTGAATGGCAGTTATGTGGCAGAATGTTGGGTAGTGTAGTGGGAGAGATTCAGAAGACTCTTTGGAGTCAGAAGTCATGGATTTGATCTGACAATGGCCTACCACATGATCTTGGCCAAGTCATTTCACTTGCCTGATACTTGATTTCTCCATGTGTAAAATGAGAAGCATGGGAGTTAGAAGACATAGATTTGAATAGTGGCTCTACAACTTACTACCTGGGGGACACTGAGCAAGTCCCTTAAAATTTGGAGGTCTCAGTTTCCTCATTTATGAAATGATTGGGTAAAACTTCACAACCTTGAAGCTTCCTTCTAGCTTTGGGTCTGTGAGCTAGAAGCCTATATAGCAAGAATTGGGGAGCTAGTGGACCTGAGTTCAAATCTGACTTCAGATGCTAGCTGTGTAATCTTCAGTAAGTCACTTAACTTGTCTTGGCCTTAGTTTCCCCATCTGTAAAATGGAAATAATAATAATACTTCAGAGTTATTGTAAGGATGAAAGGTTTTATATATATATATGTATATATATAAATATATATGTATATATATATATATACATATATATATGTATGTATATGTGTGTGTGTGTATTTTGAAAACTTTAAAATCTACATAAATGATTGCTGTTATCATGATCATGACCCTATTGACCTCATGGGGTAGTTATGAGGAAAGTGCTTTGAAATCCCTAAAGTACAATAGGAATAGAAACTGCTATTATCATTACCACTGGCCTTCTAATTCTCCTGATTTCCTTCTCCTCCCTCTTCAGAATGCCCTGACATCATCCCTCGCTCCTCCTGGGAAGCCCGAGAAACTTATTGCACTAAGCTGCTTGGGCCAGCCAAGTATGTCATCATTATCCACACTGCAGGCCATCGTTGCAATGTGACTGAAGAGTGCAAGATAATGGTTCGAGACATCCAGTCCTATCACATCGACAGGATGAAATTCTGTGACATAGGTTACAAGTAAGACGCGTGACAATCCCTTTTCTATTTTCCTCCATAGACAGCCGGGTGGGCTGCTTATGAATTGATCCCTGCAACAAACCATGATTAGGAAGATCACCGGGGTAGATACTGGAAAAGATGCAAAGTTTAGGTGAGATAGGGTGCCTGCCCTCATGGAGCTTATAGTCTAATGGGGGAAGAAGTACATCTAATTACATTGGTCAACATCAGGGGCAGATAGGTGGACGGTGGACAGTGCGAATGGAGCGCTGGGCCTGGAGTCAGGGATACCTGGATTCAAATCTGGCCTCAGACGCTAGCTATGTGACCCTGGGCAAGTCACTTAACCCTGTTTGCCTCAGTTTCCTCATCTGTCAAATGAGCCAGAGAAGGAAATGGCAAACCAGTCCAATATCCAGTATTTTCTGATTTGAATTCGTCTTGAACCTGAGTCAGCTCTTTCAAGTTGGACATCAGTCTATTACTGAGTAGCCTGTGTTCAAGAGGCAGCATTTGCACGTTGATTAGAAAACTGGTTTCTGAGTCAGGAAGACCTGGGTTCAAGTCCTGTCTTGGACTTGGCTACTGTGGCAAACCATAGTGGTTATGTGATTCTGGACAAATTAATTAATTTCTATAACTCTCTAAGACTAAAAGTTAGAAAGCAGGCCCTGACCTGTGTCCCAATGAAATCACTGGTTGGATTAAAAAAATGTTCACTTTCAAATGTATATTGGATTTAGAATTTGAAAAAAATCTTAGAGATCATCTAGCCCCATTATCTTATTTTGTAGAAAGAAACCCAAGGCCCAGAGAGGTCAAGTAATTTACCCAAGGTTACACAGGGAGTAAGTAGAGCTGGGATTTGAGGCCAGGCCCTCTGGTTTTAGATCCAGAACTCTTTCCCCTTCCTGAATTCAAATCTGGCCTCAGACACTTATGAGCTGTGTGACCCTGGGCAAGTCACTTAGTCCTGTCTGCCTTAATTTCTTCATCTGTAAAATAAGCCAGAGAAGGAAATGGCAAACCACTCCATTATCTCTACCAAAGAAAGTGAGTTCACAAAGAGTCTAACACAACTGAAAACACAACACTCTTTCCCCTGTAGTATGGTGTCCTTATCCCTTTAATAGATACTTGCCCTTTTCCCTTTAATACTCTTTCCCTTCCTCTCATCAACCCCTCCCTTCCCCCTACAAGCTCTGTTCTTTCCTAGTTGATAATGATTCCTGGATTCCAAGTCAAGTCCCACTTAATTTAACACAATCTTTCATCAGGATGAAAACCTCTCTGCTTTCTGATGCTCTTTCCCCCTATTCTGATAGCAATATCCTTTCTATGTCCTCTTTAGTTTCCTGGTAGGTGAGGATGGTAGAGTGTATGAAGGAGTGGGCTGGGACACCGAGGGCTCTCACACTTACGGCTACAATGACATCGGTCTGGGAATCGCTTTCATTGGCTTGTTCACCGGTAAGGAAGAGGCTTGCGGGCAGTCAGTGGGTGCGGGGTGTGGGTGATGGGCAATGAGAGTGGTGCATCCAGGACACGCCAGAATTCTACATTTATTGGGCAGTGAGACGTCTCTTTGTGATGACTGAGTGAATGAATGAATGGAAGACATTTATTAACCACACTCTGTGTGCCACACTCTGTGTGCAACCTAGAGACAGATTGACTTTGAATTTGCCTTTGGTGCTCACTTTGGTGGCGCTTATGCCCAAAACTGAAGTTTGAATTTTGCTTGGTCGAAAGGGGAATTCTATCAGGCATTTGTGCCCCAAGGAGACATGCATTACATCTCAATCCAGCTGTTATGATGCCTCTTTTGTTTTCATTCTGAGAGGAGGTTGGAGTTGCTATTTCCTTTAAGGAATGAGGGCGGGAGGGGACAATTTCCTTTCTACATCTCCACGTGTTTTGTAGTAAAATTTCAGAATAATCTGGCAGATGCTGTCAGTTCTTGGTTGCCAAATAATAGGGATAAGGGGAGGAGAGAGAGTTTGCAGATGGTGCCAAAATAGAGCATAATTAAAATAATAATTTGGATTAAGTTTGAAAGTTTATTAAGAAAAAACACAACCAAGGCAGCTAGGTGGTGCAATAGATAGAGCACCGGCCCTGGATTCAGGAGGATTTGAGTTCAAATCCAGCCTCAGACACAGAACACTGACTAGCTGTGTGACCCTGGGCAAGTCACTTAATCCCATTTCCTAGCAAAACAAACAAACAAACAAAAAAACACAACAAAACTTTCTGATTACAGTTTTATCTTCCTGATAGAATCTGGAAGACTGAGGTTAAAATCTTGTCTTTGATCAGCTGGGTGGCCATGGGCAAGTCATTTAACCTCTCTCAGCCTCAGTTTCCCAATTTGTAAAATGGGGATAATAGTACCTGTGGTATAAGGTTGTTGCGAGGCACCAATGAGTATTATGTAAAGCACTTTGAAAACTAACATGTGTATTAATTATTACTGTTACTATTATGGAACTCCATAGATCTCTTTCCTGTCTTTTTAGAAAGAAACTTTCACTTTTCCAGTCCCTATTTGGATAAGCTTTGTCTGACATCAAAAAGAATCAGACTCCCCAGAGCACATGCCAAGTGAGGCAGAACAGGGTGCAAAGATGGCATGGGAATGGGTGGGCTAGGTGCTTGGCAGGCCGTTTGCCTGAGGTAACACGCTTCCTCTAAATGGTGTATTTGGTCTAAGATTTAAGGCTGAAAGGGACCTCCAAGGTCCTCTGGTCCAAGCCTCTTATTTTACAGGTGAGGAAACTGAGGCTCAGGCTGATTAGTAACCTTGTCCAAGGTCACATGGTAAGCATCAGAGGTAAAATCTGAACTCAGGTCTTCATACCCCGGAGACCACACGTTTTCTATTGAGCTGTGTGCTCCCTAGGTTAATATGCATGAAGCTAATGGAAATATTACTGTTTGTATTCCCAGTTCTGGTTCTCCCCAGGGCATCTCCTGGGACAGTATAGGAAGTAATATAACCCTTTCAGTGCGGACAAGCAATCCTTCAAGAAGTTGTTTATTAAGTACTTGCTATGTGCCAGGTACCAGGTTAAGCAGAAAATTAACCATTCCCTGCCCTCCAGTAGCTCACATTCTAACTGGGGAGAAAACATGCAAACAACTATGCATAAATAAGACATAGAAAAGATGAATTGGAGTTAATCTCAAAGAGAAAGCACCAGTTTAAGGAGGACTGGCAAAGGTTTCTTGCAGAAGGTTGGATGAAATAAGGGATCCTAAAAGAGTTAAACAAATCATTTTATTGGAGGGACTTTGGTGCTAGGAGATCTTGGGCCCAAATCTTAGATGTGTCCATAGGCTACTGGGTGTGAACCACGTATGTGAATCCTTGGTCCATCACGGAGGAAAATGTATGTCCCCTGAGCTGACGGCCATGGCAAATTTTAGATGGTCTGGGCGGTGGTGTTTTTCAGGAACTTCTCCCAATGCTGCAGCCCTGAAGGTGGCCCAGGACTTGATCCAGTGTGCAGTGGACAAAGGCTATTTGATTCCTGACTACCTTCTGGTGGGACACAGTGATGTTGTCAACACGCTGTCCCCAGGGCAGGCCCTGTATGATAAAATCAAGACCTGGCCCCACTTCAAACACTGAGTATGTCTACAACCAACCTGCTTCTTTACCTCTTACTTCCTCTTGGTCCTGGGACTTGTCTGTCAGCATCTTCTGACTGGGGCATGGAGGTAGGGAGGGCAAATCTGATACCAGCCTCCCAAATTTGTCTGGGGCAGATCTGACACCAGCCTCCCAACTTTTTCTTCTGCATATGAGCCTTCACATCAGCTATTTCTCTACCCTGGGACATCCTTGTGGAAAAGCAGGCCACTCCAGGTAGGAAAGTGAATGCTGCCTAGATTCCAATCCGAGCCTGGGGTCCAGTTCCAACTCCATTGGAGGAAATGGGGAGAGGGGTGTTCTATTATACTTCTGTTTATTCTAAAATTTGACCTTTACTAGTAGCAATTCTCAAATTTCATCATGCTAATGTGGAAATATGTTTAACATGATTGTACAGATGCAGCCTATATCAGATTACTTGCCATCTTGGGGAGGTGCGAAGGAAGAGGGGAAGGGGGAAAAAAATTTGGAACCCAAAATCTTATAAAAGTGAATGTTGGAAAATATCTTTACACGTAATTGGAAAAAATATAATTCTATAAAGTGAAAAAAATAAAAGAGGTAAAATGTCAAAGAGGACACATTTACATACTTTAAAAAAAATCTCATCATGTGCAATTCTCTTTTTCTGTCTATTTCACATATGGAAATGCTTATTTTATTTAGTTTTTGTTACAGTCAGAATAAAAAAATTATAAACTTGATAAACATTAACAAACATGAGTACTTTTATGTGCAAAGAAGAAAAGAGAAAAGAGAGGACTGCATATAAAATCATACAGCAGACGGCAATTTTACAAGCAGCCTAGAAGCTGCTCATAAATCACCTTCAAATTCCCTAATTTGGCAACAGATTAACAGGCGTGGTGCCTAATAACTAGAGTAGCTTCCTTGCCCCCATTAGCAGGTAATTTGTTCTGATTCCAACATGGAACCAACATCTTGACTTATAGAATTTCTTAGGCTTGAATTTCTCCTAACTCAGTTAAAAACCCAATTTCTTGGTTCTTCTCATTACACTTTGGGCTGCTCTGGGCTCCTCCCACCAACTTCCAAGGTCTTGGTTTGTGTCAACTATGATACAGTCACTTTTTTTGTTTTTAGCTAATGAGTTCCAATTTCTTTCCCTCCCTCCACCCCCTGCTCTACTCATTGAGAAGGCAAGAAATAGAATATCCATTGTACATATGAAGTCATGCAAAACATATTTCTACATTAGCCATATTGCAAAAAAAAAAAAGAGAGAGGAAAAAAAGCAAGAAAAATGAAGAAAGTGAAAAAATGCTTCAATTTGCACTCTGAGCTCATCACTTCTCTTTCTTGAGTCCTTTGGAATTACATTGGATCATTCTACTGATCAGAGCAGCTAAATCTTTCATAGTTGATTATTCTTGGAATATTACGGTTACTGTATACAATGTTCTCCTAGTCCTGTTTACTTAACTTTGCATAGGATACAGCCGCGTCAATGAGATTCTTCATAATAGCGTGGCTCCTCCCCATTTCCAACCCCAAGTGATTGTGGGTGCCGTAGTGTTCCTCTTCGACAGAAGGGCAATATTACAACTTTGAGACCCTGAGAGCGTATGATGTATGTGTGTGTACATACATGTGAATATATCATATATATCTATATCTATACATGCATATGACAATTACTGAATCATACCCATAGACCTCCCTTGCCCCACTAGCAGAAAGGGTCATGTCTTCCTGATCCTCTTCACTTCTTTCTGTTCAAACTCTTCCATTTTAGGAAGCCTGCTTTGATACTGCTTCCCACCTCCTGTTTCACTTCCACTAATTCTCCACATCCTTTCTGTGCTCTGATGATTAAGCTGCAATTACTTCTTTGTCTCTGTCTGTAACCCGGAAGTATTCCCTGTCTCTCATCAAACTGGGATCTTCTCAATCATGGAGTCTATGTCTTCTTCCAATCCTGATACCCCAACCAACTGGAGACTTCTTGAAGGCAGGAACTATGTCTTTTCCTCCTGGATCTTCCCCCAGAGCCCAAGGCAGGTTTCTGTTCACAAGGGATGCTTGGTATCTCATATTGGTTAATGCTGGCAAACCTGACTCTTAGCCATCCCCTTGCTTGATGCAAAAGGCTGGGAATTAGCATGAGGGAGGATACAGGGTCTTGCTTATGCTTTTAGATAGCAATACATTGCACTTTGCACATGCTTCTCCTGAACAAAAAAGGCACTTGTCATTTCAGTGGGGAGCAGGTATTATGAAGAGTATTTATTCGGGGGTCCCTGGCTAACCCTCCTTTTCTGTGTTCATGATCTAGAAGAAAGGGAATTTCTGGAAAATGAGAAGACAGAAGAAGGAGGAGTAAAAGGAGCCCTCAGCAATGTGAACTTCTGGAGGAGAAACTCTTGTCACACACACACAGTGTGTTTGTACTATGACAATTTTTTTCTAACATTTAATAATATTTTATTTTTTCCAATTACGTGTAAAGACAGTTTCTAAAGTTCACTTTCATAAGATTTTGAGATCTGAACTTTTTTCTCCCTCCCTCTCTTTCCCCCTCCCCAAGATGGCAAGCAATCTGATATAGGCTATACATGTATAGTCATATTAAGTGTATTTCCACATTAGTCGTGTTGTGAAAGAAGTATCAGAACCCAAGAGAAAAGAAAAAATAACAAAAAGAGGAGAGAAAATAGTATGCTTTGATCTGCATTCAGACTCCATAGTTCTTTCTCTGGATGTGGATAGCATTTTCCATCACGATATGAAAATTTAAAAAAAACCCATCTGTTGTAACATAATAAAATGATACTAATAAAAACTCTCAGTGGGTAGAGTGCCAGTCCTGGAGTTAGGAAGACTCATCTTCCTGCGTTCAAATTTGGCCTCAGACAACTTGCTAGCTGTATAACCCTGGGCAAGTAACTTCACCCTCTTTGCCTCAGTTTCCTCATCTGTAAAATAAACTGGAGAAGGAAATGGCAAACCACTCTATTATCTTTGCCAAGGAAACCCCAAATGGGGTCATGAAGAGTCAGGACATGACTGAAAAATGACTGAACAACAAAAATAATAAAAACAACATGTCTATAGCATGTCATACTTTTCAAAGTGTTTTCCCATGACCTCATTCTACCTCATCCCATCCTTGCACCTTGTGGTGTAAGGTGGCAGAAGGCCTGATCTTTCCATTTTGTAAAGGGGGTGACTGAAACCCAAAGAGACTTAATGATGCCCTCTGTAACTGTGCTTTGTATTTTATGCTCTTTCCCAATGAATGTGTGAAAGCCCAGTGGTTTTTCCTCCTAGCCAGCCCAGACTCCTTTCTGTTAAGCTTTACAGCAAACCTCAGTCTATCCAGCACGGGGTGGTGAGCTACAGACGTTCTCATTCTCATCCTTCCATATTCTTCCTGTGAGATCCCCGAACATGCCATCAGAACAGGACTCGGACAAGGAGAGGGAGACTTTCTAACACAGGCTATGCCTTACCAAGGAAGTAACTACAGAAGGATGTTTGACACTGGAAAATGGCAATGTGATATTTCTCTTTTGTAATACTGAATGACTCTTCAAAAAGACAGTCTATTACTTGCAATGTACACTAAGGAAGAGATATTTTCCAATCAATTTACAGGCCCTACGGACCACATGTTCCTTCACATCCATGAAAGGCTGTGCCAGAGCGGCTCTTACCAGTTAGAGAGTGAGCTGATTGTTAAATTTTCAGTGTGAGTGTTTATACCTCAGAAATCATCAAACACTCCAAATCAGGGCTTGATTTATTGCTTTGTTATTTGTCTAGACTTCATAAAGTGATGGAGAAAACAGTAATAATGCAGATGAAACTAAGAAGTGTGTTGTGGGTACAATTTTTTTTCCCTCAGGGATCTAGTTGTTAAATCTTTTACCAGCTGTTCCCATGCCTGCCATGTACTGGAGAGGGCTGGACTTAGAGTGTCAAGTCCTGAATTTGAGGCAGTGTGGTTCAGAGGAAAGAGCAATAGAGTGAGGAACTTTGGGTTCAGATCCTGGAACTGCCATTGACCAGTTGTATGACTTTGGCCAAGTCAAGGCACTGGCTTCAGCCTCAGTTTTCACATTGGATTAAAAAAAAGGAATAATGATACTTTTCTTGTCTCCTTCCAACAGCTGATGTTGAATGAGATCATCTACGTGAAAATTCTTTATACACAGGAAGGAAAGAAACAAGCATCTGCTAAGCTTCTGCTATATGCCAGGCGCCGTGCTAAGCACTTTGCAAACATCTTCTCCTTTGTGACTCGCAACAATCCTGGAAGGCGGGTGCTATTTATTACTAGCCCCATTTTACAGTTGAGAAACTGAGGCAGACAGCAACTAAATGACCTGTCCAGGGTTACGTGGTAAGTGTCTAAGGCTAGATTTAAACTCAGGTTTCCCTGATTACCTAGTGCTCTGTCCACTGTGCTGGCAATCAGGGCGGTAATTTAGAGGTCACCTAAAGCACTGTCTAATGGCACGCTTCTTTGCTGCTCAGGAGTAAAGAAACTTCTTAGTATTGTGAGATGCATGTTCCTTCCCAAGCTTGTGTGCCAGGTGAACCTCCCACACCCCCAGCCTCAGCAACTGCTCGCCACAGATCTGCAAACTGCTGCTTATAGCTCTGTCCCAGGCCGCCTTAGAGGCAGGCAGGTGGTGCTGTGGATACAGCACTGGGCCTGAAGCGAGGAAGGCCTGAGTTCAAACCTGGCCTCCCACACTTCCTAGCTGTGTGACCTTGAGTAAGTCACTTAACCTCTTTTTAGTCAACTATACAAGGAAGATCATAATAGCATCTACCTCTGAAGGAGATATCCTTCCTCCCTTCCTTCCTTCCCTCCTTCCCTCCTTCCCTCCTTCCCTCCTTCCCTCCTTCCCTCCTTCCTTCCTTCCTTCCTTCCTTCCTTCCTTCCTTCCTTCCTTCCTTCCTTCCTTCCTTCCCTCCTTCCTTCCCTCCCTCCTTCCTTCCCTCCCTCCTTCCTTCCCTCCTTCCTTCCTTCCTTCCTTCCTTCCTTCCTTCCTTCCTTCCTTCTTCCTTCCTTCCTTCCTTCCTTCTTCCTTCCTTCCCTCCTTCCTTCCTTCCTTCCCTCCTTCCCTCCTTCCTTCCTTCCTCCTTCCTTCCTTCCTTCCTTCCTTCCTTCTTCCTTCCTTCCTTCCTTCCTTCCTTCCTTCCTTCCTTCCTTCCTCCTCCCTCCTCCCTCCTCCTCCCTTCCTCCTTCCTTCCTTCTTCCTCCTCCCTCCTCCTTCTCCCTTCCTTCCTTCCTTCTTCCTTCCTTCCTTCCTTCCTTCCTTCCTTCCTTCCCTCCTTCCTTCCTTCCCTCCTTCCCTCCCTCCTTCCTTCCTTCCTTCCTCCCTCCCTCCCTTCCTTCCCTCCTTCCTTCCCTCCTTCCCTTCCTTCCCTCCTTCCTTCCCTCCTCCTTCCTTCCTTCCTCTTCCTCCTTCCTTCCCTCCTTCCTTCCCTCCTTCCTTCCCTCCTTCCTTCTTCCCTCCCTCCTTCCTCTTCCTTCCTTCCTTCCTTCCTTCCTTCCTTCCTTCCTTCCTTCCTTCCTTCCTTCCTTCCTTCCTTCCTTCCCTCTCCTCCTCCTCCCTCCTTCCTTCCTTCCTTCCTTCCTTCTACCTCCCTTCCTTCCTTCCTTCCTTCCCTCCCTCCTTCCCTCCTTCCTTCCTTCCTTCCTTCCTTCCTTCCTTCCTTCCTTCCTTCCTTCCTTCCTTCCTTCCTCCTCTCCTCCCTCCCTCCCTCCTTCCTTCCTTCCTCCTTCCTTCCTACCTCCCTCCCTCCCTTCCTTCCTCCTTCCTTCCTACCTCCTCCCCCTCCCCCTTCCTTCCCTCCTTCCTTCCTTCCCTCCTTCCTTCCTCCTTCCCTCCTTCCTTCCTTCCTTCCCTCCTTCCTTCCTTCCTTCCCTCCTTCCTTCCTTCCTTTCTTCCCTCCTTCCTTCCCTCCTTCCTCCCTCCTTCTTCCTCCTTCCTTCCTTCCTTCCTTCTTCCTTCCTTCCTTCCTTCCTTCCTTCCTTCCTTCCTTCCTTCCTTCCTTCCTTCCTTCCTTCCTTCCTTCCTTCCTTCGTTCCTTCCTTCCTTCCTTCCTTCCTCCCTCCCTCCCTTCCTTCCCTCCCTCTTTTTTCTTTCACCACTGATCTGGGGTAGTAGGGATGTTGTTGTTGGAAATCAGACTCAGTTGAGCCCAGATGGCCTCTGATCCCCGAATAATTCCTGTTTGTTTTAGGCGGGCATAAGCTGAATTTGTTGGCAGCAATATGTGCTTCCTAATGATATTTTGGCTCCAGTTGGTATTAACTAGGCTGTGTCAGGGTGGGAAGGGAGGAGAGCAGTCACAGGCACGTGGAACCAGGTGGAAAGGAAACATTTATCGCAGAGTGGGTGTTCCACAACCCTACAATATGTTCCAGAACTGGCCACGGTGTGTGGTAAATAGGAGGGATGTGGCCTGGAACCTCTCTCCCTGATTGGACCAAACACATTCATGTTGAAACGGGAAAATGCAATGCCTTCATCAGCCAGGCTCTTCCTCCTTTACTCCCCAAAGGGGATATCTGTTTTTATTCCTCCAGGTTAGAATCACAGAACTTCTGAGCCAAAAGGAAATGGATGCACAATTACTGTAATGCCTGTGTTGGTGTTAGTCAGTCAATAAATATTTATTAAGCATCCACTATGTATCAGACTGTGCTAAGCACTTGGGAGTACACAAAGAGGCAATAGAGAGACCTTGACCTTAAGGTGCTCACAAAATTGTGTGCATGCATACGCGCGCGCAAGCGCGCGCGTGTGTGTGTGTATACATGTGTATATGCACATGTGTGCATGAATGTTTTTAAGTGGAAGGGCATATCCCCCCTTTCTCTGTTTCCTATCTTTCTTTCTTGTTAACCTTCCCCCTATTCTATGAAATCTCCTTTTTCCATGACTTATCTTACCCTCTTCCTCCTCTTCTCTTTCTTCTCCATGTGAAAGTGGGCAGGTTACTTTATCTCTCTGGGTCTCAATTTCCTCATATGGAAAGATGAGAGACTCAGATGAGATGGCTTCTGAGGTTATTTCCGTATCTAAATTTCATGGTCATGATTCTATGATCCTTCTCTCTCTCAACATGTTAAGGGACCTCAAAGTTCATCCTTGGCTACAGCATTTTGACAAATGGCAATTGATCTGATTTTTTTCTTGAAGACTTCCAGTAGTAACCCTATCCTCCCCTCTCTTCTTCCCCTCTTTCTCTCCTCTCCCTCTCCCTGTCTCTCTTCTATTTCTATTTTCTCTCTATCTCTCCCTCTTGAAATCAAGAGACCTGGATTTTAATCCTGGCTCTGATGTTAAATGTGTAAATTTGGGCATCTCCCCCTAACTTCTCTGAGCTTCAGTTTTCTCATCTATA